ATCTATCTATCTATCTATCTATCTATCTATCTATCTATCTATCTATCTATCACCTTCCATCTCCAGCCACCCAGCCACTGCATACATTCACATGATTATAAAATAAAAATAGAGCTGGGGGATGGTTCAGTGGATAAAAGCATTTACAGTGCAATCCTGATAACTTGAGCTTAATTGCCAAAACCCACATAGAAAGCTGGATGTAGGAGGCACATTTGTAATCCCAGAACTTCTGAGAAGTGGACACGAGAAAATCATCCTGAAGCTCAAGGGCCAGCTAAGCTGGAATACACTGAAAAATGCGGAGACCCTGCTTCAATAAGGTGAAAGAGAGAATTCACTCCTGGACATTGTCCTCTGAGGCATCCGCAGGTACACACACACACACACACACACACACACACACACACACACACCAGAGGGTATGTAAAAGTCTTCTGCTTTAATGTTTTTTTTTTTTTTTTTTTTTTTTTTTGTTTTTTTTTTGTTGGTTTGTTTTTGGTTTTTTGTGGGTTTTTTTTTTTTTTTGGCTGCAAATGGTAAAAACTTGAGGCCTGCCTTGAGTGACAGGAAGTGTATTCACTCTGTTGTTAAAGGTAGGGGAGATGGTTTTGTTGACGGGGAGGCTGACAGTACCACACAGAGGCCACTATTCCTTTTTCCTCTGCTCTCTAGTATATGGCTCCAGTCTAAGGCTGGTTCCTTTCTGGTGATATTAAAACAGTTGGGCTCCATGCCACCCTGATTGGATTGATTCCACAAAAGAGACTATGACTTCCTGGAATCTGTCGTGGTATGAGAGCACATCCCAGGGGCATCCATCAAACCTCTCCTCTCATTTTACTGGACAGAGTTGGGTCACATAGCCATCCTTGAACAAGTCACTATCACAAGAATGGAATTGTATGTAGGCCATCAGAGCCATCGCTGGAGAAGATAGTCAGTGTCCCAAGCACCTTTGAGTGAAATGCTGATGGCCAAGGCTCCTGAAGTGTCTGTATTTGCCCCACCTGCGCACCCTTCACTGGGGTAAGCGTGTCCCTGGCTTCCTGTGTAACTTACAGACAGTATTCTATGAAAGAGTCCCCATTTTGTACGGGGAGGAGACAGAGTACACATTGTCTTACGTGGCTTCCAGTAGGACACTGTTGTTAAGTTCTTATTATATGATATGACTAGAAGTGTGTATTTTGTTAGTCAGAGTAGGTTTATGAACTAACTATGCACCTTGTCTATTTGTCTTGTGTGCCCGACTAGCGGTAGTACTATTATTATTTTTTTTTTTAGCTCCAGCAATTTTTGTTGGGCCAAGAGGAACTAGGGAGGGTTTTGGTTTGGAATGGGACTAGGGCTTGGAAGTGGAGCATCTCTGGCTGGCCCCTGACAGTGGCAGCATAAAGAAAGAAAATGCCAAGACAAGCCATATACACAGCAGCAATAACAACGGATGCCATTTTATACATGTGCTCATGCAAACATTTATTTTATACATGTACATACATATATACATTGCTGCATGTGTGCACTTTATACAAGTACTCATTCATACATATTTATTTTCTATACATACATGCATATACACAACATTGCTGGATGTGTGTTCAACAAGAACCAAGGCAGGCCAGGCGTGGGGGCACACATCTGTAATTCACCGCTCAGGAGGCTGAGGCAGAGTTTTGAGTTTGAAGGTAACCTAGATTAACGCCCCTCCCTCCACTCCTCCATATCCACCCAAAAAACCCCGTTAGGTTTGCTTGCCCAGATGTTTCTTCACACAGCTAAGATTCTCCCTGACATACTCCTGAAGTTTCTTAGTGTTTCAGTGACACACATGATTCTCTTAGACTTGCTGAGTGAAACTCCAAAGGCCTTCACCAGTGTGTGAGTGATAGCCACTGGATGATGGATGGTTCTACAATATCTGCCTTTGAGTCCTAGAGTTCTGGTGGTATTGGTCCTCTCTTCCCTGCTCTCCTCTTGTCCTCTTCTTTCAAGAAATAGGGACAAAATCTGATGGGCTGTGATTTTTACAGAGAGATGCCTCCTCTTAGTTTTTGATACAACAAAACAACAGCAGGACTGGGAATTCAGCTTCGCTGGTGAAGTGCTTGCCTGGCATGCACCAGGCCTGGGCCCCTGGCTTTGATGGTACATACCTGAGATCCCCCACTGGGAAGAGACGGGAGCAAGAAGATCAGAAGGTCATCCCCAGAGCCTGTTACATGAGGC